GGAGGGAGACTTCAAAGGAAGCCTCCGACGAAGTCGACGTCTCAAACCGGAAGCCAAGTAAAAAATCTTGAAGGCGAAAAATTATTTGTAAAATACATTCACATGCATAGTTATATAGGTTTTAAAAAAATAACTGAAATAATTTTTCCCTCCATGATAACAGAAAACAGTAAGATGAATAATGTGTTGGTCTGAGCAAAATTTAAACAATAATTGAACTGTTTATAAAGAATCAATTATCACTACAAACCCTGTTTCCTCCATGATGCATCCACCCCAGGATTCTGTACAATCGCACCCTTCTTAAATGATATAAAAGGGAGGGAGGGAGGGAGGGAGGGAGGGAGAGAGAGAGAGAGAGAGAGAGAGAGAGAGAGAGAGAGAGAGAGAGAGAGAGAGAGAGAGAGAGAGAATAAAATTAGTTGACAATATGTACAACAAAATACACCATAAAGTAGAGAACAAATACAATAAGTTTTTTTACTCTTTGGATGTCTGCATTTTGAATAGTACATCCAATAAGCATAAAAGAATTCCCTATTCATCTGAAAAACTGCAATGAGTAAACTAATCTCTTCCCAACAAAGAAAAAGTGAAGACACTCTACATATGTGGATACGTAGACATGCATGACTGATTAAGAGATTATGTGTCATCAAATTATTTTTGACTTCTAATGACTACATAGGTAAGTTGTCTCCATGAGCATGCATGACCAAAAATGATACCTGGACAGAGTAGTCTAGTTGCTTGAATTGACTTAAAAGATTCTTAGACAATAAAGTAGTTAGCTCTATTTAGAGAATATAAAACTATACAAACATTTAGTTTGATACCAGGAGACTTAGCACATACTTGGTTTTCTGGATGCTGGTTCCCATTGTATCCCTAGATTCTGAGCCAAACTTTGGGACAATTCTTGTGCTATTGCCCAGGAAAGCCCATACTGTTAGGAAAAGATATCAACATCAATTAAATTAGGGTGAAAAAAAGAGGTAAATGCAGATTATTACAAGTTTAACATAAAGCTGCCATCACAAAATGTTGTAGACATTTTTATCTTGTTTTGTTTTAACTTTATTTTTTTTAATGTGTTTCTGTTTGCAATTCTGGTTACTGACCATAATAAACATTCTATTCTTTTGTATATAACTTAACCTACATCCTAACATTTCTATGGAAATATCTCATTAATTTAAACAGAGTTTATTTCTAAGTACATGCAACACTATTTCTGTTAGTATACAACAGGGATGTCAAACTGCCAGCCCGCAGGCCAGATGCATCACGCCGAAACCGCGCCCACCCCATTGCCGGCAATGGGGAAAAAGTCGCGATACGTTGCGTGAACTTACACATGATGTCGCGAGTTTGACATACCTGGTATACAACAAATGCATGTTTTCTTGAATTTAAACAATCATAAACAAACATTGCCCTAATAAATGAGAAGAAATACAACTAACTTGGAGAATAGCTACTATCCACCTCCCAGAATTGGCTTTCCTGGTACTGCTATTAGAAATAGGCTTACTCTGTGAAATAAACTCACTATTTGAAGGATAAAAAGAGCAGATGAGGCATAAAATATGAACAGAAAAGTACAAATATAATAACAAAAAAGGAAGAAAAAACAGGCGAAACAAAAAACCATATAGTCAAGAAAAAGTAGTGACTAGACTCTGTTCTAGAATGTTCTTGGATGAGAAGCAAAATGTCTTCAAGGAAAAAACAATCCAGTTGACTTTTGAAAAAAGCATCTTTAGAACAATCATGACCTAGATGACTGAGAATCTCCATACACATTATATTTATTTATTTACTAGCTGACCCATGACCTGTTGGATCATATCAGAGATATTTTCTTACCAAAACCAACGAACAGAATGATCACAGGCAGGCAAAAAAAAAAAGCAGTGGAAGTGATTTCTGACTTCCTGCCAGCTTCCCCATTGGCTCTGCTTGAGAGAAGCTAGCAGGGAAGGTTGCACATGGTAATCATGTGACCTTAGAGTGCTGCAACAGTTGTAAGTGTGAGCTGGTTTCCAAGCTTCCACTTCACAATTACATGACCATGGCGATGGGGGGGGGAGGGGAATGCAACAGCCAAGTACCACTTGTTCAAAGTCATTGCAACTTGGAATAGTTGCTCAATGAGTGGTCAAGAATCAAGGACTTCTTATATACTCATGAGACTTTATGAATTGGGTAAATAAATACATTTCTTCAAAACAGAACTATTACCTCATTTACTCCAACACCTCTAGCCACTGAACAAATTCCTCCAAAATAGCTTAGGCTACTTCTTTTATAATGAAATGTCACATTCCTTCAGAACAAGACAGATAAAAAACAATATTAATAGCATTATCTTCAAATGAAATAGTATAACATAAATTATGAGAACACTGGGCTTGTTTTAGTCAGTTTCTTTAATGTCATTGAAGGAGAATATTCGTAGATGGATTACTCATAGTAATTCTGTCAAGTGCCTTTGTGTTTTTTTAATGTTGTCTTTATTTATAAGTAACTCAAGGTGGTGAACGTACCTAATACTCCTCTATCTCCTATTTTCCCCATAACAACAATCCTGTGCTATGGGTTGGACTGAGAGAATAATTGGCCCAAAATCACCCAACTAGTTTTTGTGCCCAAGATGGAACTAGGACTTATAGTCTCCTGGTTTCTAGGCCAGCACCTTAATGATTACACCAAACTGGCAAGGATTAAATAACTTATTTCCAGTTTTTGAAGATGTCATAGGAAGAAATAAATGAGCCAAAATGTAAAAGTGAGAGAATACACAGGAAAATATCGTACCCAGAAAAAAAGCTTCCTAACTGAGATAACATTTTTTTGAATAAGATATATCCCTGTACTGTACAGAAATAATTCTTGGCAGTATTAATTTTGGATACAATTAATCAAATTACAAAACAATAAAGAAAATATTCTGATCAATTAAGCACTAGTTTTGAAACTCAAAAGGCTGATATAATGTTTAAAAGAAAAAGTGGTTCTAAAAGTATGAGTAATCTTAGATGGATTACTCATAGTAATTCTGTCGACTGCCTTTGTGTTTTTTTTTAATCTTGTCTTTATTGATAAGTAAACTCAAGGTGATGAACATACCCAATACTCCTCTATCTCCTATTTTTTCCATAACAATCCTGTGAGATGGGTTGGACTGAGAATAATTGGACCCAAATCCCCCAACTAATTCATTGGGTGAGTCAAGAGGTGCTGTATTTAATAACACCTGAGGATGAAATGACTACAGATCCTTAAACCTCTTAAGAAGAACAGAGGACCAAACCATCGCTCCTCTTTTTACATACGAGAGGAGATGTACAGCATCAGCACGTTGCTTGATGAAGTTCTGTCGATATCGGGAAAAATCATGAAGCATCTGCCGTGGATCCGAGTGGATATGAATGCGATCTCTGTCTGACCAGGTTTCAACAGCAACTAGAACAACTCTGGTGTTTAGTTGCTCCTTGTAAATCTGTGGGAAGAGACAGGACAAGCACAGGAGTGGAACACTGGGTCAAACATGCACAATTAGCCAATCAATGAGTGGAAAGACAAACAGGGTAAAGTAGGAGAGAAACAGTGGAATATAATTAGATAATATACTTCCCTAATAATCAATACTTCATTAAATTTACAGTAAAGTCAATAGTACAAAATACTGCATAATTATCAGTACATCATTATGTAATATTTACTATATAGTTTGTGGTAGGAAATCATAAAAACAGTTGAGAATGGACAGACCTTGTGCTTGTAAGGTTTTGTTTTAATTGTAAGAATTTTAATAATTTAATTTATTTAATAATTTAATTTAATAATTCTGAATCCAGGTGCCTAAAGTGAGCACAACAAGAATCTGTTGTTCCCCAAACATCTTTAACTGGATGCTCAGAACTTTTTTTCTGCTTGAATTCATGAATATCTCTTCAATAAAGTCACTCATTCTTCAAACTGCATTTCTAGCAATCATAATCTTCATTAGGTAGGTAGGTATTTTGTCCTGTGATTCAGTTATATATTTTGCACAACAAGGTAACATCACAAATACATCTTCTGTTTAAACAAATAATCCTCGGTTTCATTTTTCAAAGAATCATCCCTACCTTCATTCTGTCAGGCCCATTTCATAATAGGACTAGAATGGGCACAATGGACATGGCACAAAATAATTCTATTTTTTTTTATCTAGATAGTCTTTAACTGCACAAAGAACTGAAGTGTTTTTAGCACTGGAAGAAAAATATGTACCATTGTGAGACAGCTTATTCAATACACTGCATTTTTCAAACTCTAAAGAAAGCTTGTGTGGAAGTGGCAACCATAGCTGCCTGCACTGTAAGGCAGTTTTTTCAAAGAGTTCGTTGATAGAGCCTCTTCTTGGCATTCTGTCTTTTCCTTTTCAAAGCATTGCAAGATTTATTTATTCATTTTCAGCACTGGCAGCTTTCAAGTGCAAGGTGCTATAGAGGATAACATTACAGGAAACTGTGATTCTGTAGCCTCCCAAAAGAAAGAATACCTTCTGTGAAACTCAAAGCAAATCATTTTTCAAAATCATGAATTCTTTTCTCTGCATTCTCAGAGGACATTGAATGTTTCTTTCTAGGCTCAAGGGTTCATTTTCTGTTAGTACATGTGTGTAGCTGGTAGCACAGACATCTGGTTGAAGCCATGATTACATCATGGATGTCAAGACATGACACAAATGATACAAATGATACAATTTATGTCCATTGCATGATGACATCATGACTTAGGCAATGTCATTTGCCCCCCTTGCTACTCTATAATAAGGATTTTTTTTCAAAGATTTTTTTGTAGTTCTAAAACTTTGGTATTTCTTTTGCATAATGTAAAAATTGGGATTTAGGCAGTCAAGTCTGCTATCCATGTAAACCTGTTCTTATTCTTAATATAAAAAGAATTATGGGACAAATGGTTGCCTTTTCAGTTTATCATTCCCTATTGATTCCATTTCTCCTAGTCAAAACTGAATACAGTATTAATTTTACTGACTACGGCAATACTTACAGCATCCACGAGATTTACCACCGATTTCGCAAAGTTATTCGTATTACTATGGGATGAACGATGTTTTTTGAACTAGAAGAAAAATGTTAAGTCATAATCCAATCAAAACATTGATTATACTTCACTGCTTCCTGGCAATGCCAAAAAGAGAAGCAATCCCACTAATATTTCTCTTTGAACATTTTGCATTGTATTAATATAGATCAATTGTACAAACAATAGTATAAAATTTGCAATAACTTTCCCTTATAATTCAAACTTTTGATTGCAAGCCTTTTTCTGTGGCAAATAACTCAATGCATTTTTTTATTTCAAGTATAAAATGTTCTGTGAAGAAGTCTGTACTTAGTTGTCTTTAGATTTGCCATAATAGTCCAGAAAGAAAACTAGATATCTGGGTATCTTACAGAAAGTTTACTATTAAAGTTTTATTCACAAACATAAATAAACTTTTCTTATAAAGGAAGCCTGTTAACATTAATTACTTATTATCAGCTTATTTATATATAATGCCTTTGGGTCAATCTTGACTCCTGGAAACTATCTAAATAATCAATGCAATTTTGTTGGCAGCATTTGGAACATGGATTTGCCAGTATCTTCTTCCTAGTGCTGAAAATGACTAGCCCAATGTTCCCCACCCCCCACTGGTCTCATGCCTAAAACAGGACTGGAACTTAAGACTCTCCAGGTTTCTAGCCCAGAGCCTTTAACCACTGCACCAAACTAGCTCTCTCAGCATATTTAAAACTCTATGTTTTACACTTCAAGTTTTATTTTAAAACTCCTTGATAAAATTTGCCAAATCATTGGGACACAACAAATGAAAAGAGCAGTTCCTCATCTGGAAATATATTTTATTAATCTTTGGACAAAAGAGTTCAAAAATTCCAGAACATATCTCTCCAAACATTGTACTCTCAGATTATGAGTAAACATGATGAATTTCAAACATCATGTACAAATATTATCAAATTTCTGACCTCAGAGAGAAACACTGCAGCAATCCTGACAGAATTTTTATTATCAGTATTATTATTCCCATACTGCAGATGGAAATCTGAGGCTGAAAATGAGGTTTCTTGCCTAGAATAATTGGCAAACAAAATGTAATCAGGCACTTCCTGATTCATATCTCAGTGTCTTATCAACTTAGGTTCAACTCAATACCGCTTTAATACCAGCATTTTGAGACATTTGAGAAGTAGTTATTAAGACAGGGAATCTCTGCTATGTGCATTGGCTCCACATGAGGTATCACTCTGTTTAATGGTAGGGCTGGCCCTTGCATGAAAAGTATACTCATTTTGAACTCCTGAAACCTTCAGAGATATGGAGACAGGCCGTGTAGGATGGGACAGAGGAGATAAAGAAAATGACTGTGTCCCCTCATAATTTTAATTGCATGGCAGATGTAGTGTTGAACCAAGCCTTGAGAAAGACAACTAGATGAACAAAAATAAATCAACTCTATGGTCTTTCCCAGATGCACTTCCAGAAATAACACTGGATATGGAGGTATCAAGTAATCCAAGCCTGGCTGTTAATGATATCCATAATCTAGTCTTATTCCAAGAATTTTCCAGTGCACATTACTTAATTCCACAGACTTTATTCAAAAGTACAATTATCTATATTATCATTAAAATGTATGCACTTTCCACAATCAACTTTTATAAAAAAGAAGAATAGAAATACCGTAACTAATAGAAGCAACTTACCATTTTATGGTCATTAACAATCATGAGCTCCAGGTATTTCATTTCTTCAAAGATGCCACGCACTGCCTATAAATCATAAAAAGAATAGTTAGATTTAAAAAAATAGGTTGTTTTAGTGTTTGTCATGATAACTCACACTGTCTTATGTCTGTTTTACCAAAGCCTAAGAGCAAATGATACTGTATTAATTTAACTGGGGGATATCTAACTCAGTCTTTTTTCAGTCTTTTTCAAAATGAGAACAGAAGGAAATTCTTTGTGGATGCAAAAATCCATTTTTCTAGCCAGAGATATAGTTTCTTTTCTTCTTCTCTACAACTTTTCTTGTTTTAATTGTAAAAATAATATTTTTTAAAAGGTTTGCCACTACTTTGGATGATAGGTTAAAATCAGTCCTGTCATGTTGGCTGGGAATTCCATTAAGTGTGACGAAGATGCTTTGAAAAACTGAATTGCTATCACATAGAAGGGTTTTTAACTTTAGAAAAAAGTATAACCTCCCCCCTCCCCAATGCATATGAAAGCTACTTCCTCTACAGGTGCAGATGATGAATAGCTATGAAGGATGAAGAATCCTCTGGATACCGACTAAATAGTACCATGGTCTGACTCAGTGAAACTTCATGTTTTGTCATTACCGCACACATATGTTCAAGAAGGGTCAGCTTATATAACATATACTTTATGCAATTAGCACATGAACAAAGACTGGGACAAGCATAACTATCCCATATTGGTGTACCTGTATAGAATCTGGCATATTTTTGCATCTTTAGTGTTGCATGAATCTCTTTCTGCTAACAGTTAATCAATTCACTTTTAAGTGAAGTTTTACATTGTCACAGGGTGTGATATGAAAGCATATGATGCAGTTAATTTCCTGAAACTAAACATAACTGAGTCTAATCAGAAACAACCTGGGAATTCAGTGTATATGACTCTAAGTTATGGTCAAATAAAGATGAGATATACAATTAATAAATGTTAATAAATAAATAAATAACATTTTTTCAGGTTTGATATGATGTTTTCTCATTTCCCATTCCCATACAGGAATGTTTACAATTGTCCAATACCACAGTGTCTGAGTTTGTGTTAAAATTCTGATTTGTTTTTCTCTGAGCAATTCAAAGTCCATATTGCACAAAATTAACAAAATATATATGTAGAACTATATGCAATTTGTTGGCTTCCTAAAAAGGTTATGTATGATTTCTTATTAATGGAAAGAAAGCCAAGCTGTCTTGAACTTCTTACCAGTTGCAGAAATGGACTGTGCATAACAATCTATTCACATTCATAAGAATTCAAACCACCCATTATTTGAAAGACAGTGTTTGGAGATTTGATTTTCAATTAATAGATCATTTTTTCTATATATTAATTCTATATATTAATTTTGTTCAAAAAGGTTTATGTTTTATTAGGATTTAAATCCTTATCATATAAAAAGAAACATTTTATTATTTAGCTCAGCTAATTCAATCACAAATTTCATTTATCTCCAGTCTTGAAAAATAATTAATTGTAGATTACATATAACATTTCCATGAAAATAAAATTCATATTATATAATCTTTTAATTTTTTTTAATTTTTTCATAAATTGTAATTATTTCTTATAAGCAGTCCACATTCTTCAACATAATTCATGGTACTTCCCTCCCCCATCTTTCCTACAGATTTTCTTTGCCCCTCAAAAAGTGTATATGATTAAATAGTGCCATAAATATTAAGAGGGTCTCTTTTTTACTCAGTCAGTTGAGTAATTTTATCTACTTACCTACTATCTACCTACCTATGTATGTACCTGCTGTTTGTTCAATTATTTATATTTATCTGTTTCACCAATTTGCTGTTTAAAGTGAAAAAAATTGTGAGGTGAAATAAATGATCTCCTGCAGTACAAAATCACTTCAGCATGAAAGCTGAGGTCTAACACAGTACTACATTTTACATGTTTTCCCATGTCTTTTAAAAGCAAAGAGATCTTGTATTTGATGCAGTATTACTGACGTCGTAACACTCACAGCCCTTCTTCTCCTTCTTAGCCACTGCAACTCAGACAGGAAGGACCAATCAGATGTGGAATCGGTATCTAGAGATTGATAGCAAAGAATTTTCTGTTTTAACACACAGCATCTGTACCTTTGTCAAATGAAACATATTGGCCCTTTCCCCTTTTATTGGTAAAACTTTCCTTTGTTTTAAATCTGCTAGTTTTAGCCAACACGTTCAAGCTATTTTAAATCCAGTTTAGTATTCAGTCCTCAACTTTATTCACCCAAATTAAAGTCTGTCTCCAAATGACTGAGTTGATAATGATGGCACAATAAACTATTATTCAAATTATTCACAGTGCCAATCCTATCTCTGATGACTTGTATTTGTTCTGCATATAATCATCCTTCTAAAAAAATATATTAAAAACACTTCTCATTTCAAACTTCCTGCATATTCCAGCGAAAGCAGTTACCAGCAACATGTAATGATGACTATAAGTTGCTAAATTAACTTTCCCTTTCTTGTAAAAAGAAAAATTTCACTGTAAAGATAGGGATTACTGTGAAGGTTGTATATAAATTACAGTTGCTCCAAAATATGGGAGCAGTTGGACAGCTGGCATTACCAAAGGAAAATATAAGGCCAGTTTTATATATACCTTACTAGATATGTTATTATTTGGAAAATGTGCTGTGTATAGTGTTTTGCAATCTAATCTTACAGAAGAATGATGTCAGTATCAATTATGAACCAACTCCTCAGTGTTCTTCAATAAAAAGATTTTAAGACTCAGTATGATATATGTAGAGTTTGCTCATTGTATTTCATTCTATAGAGGGCAATTCTAAAGAGAGTTAATCTTCAATATCACATCATGGTATAAGTTGCCCATACAAGTAAAGAGTAAAGAGCTTTCTAACAATTACATTACCAGCTTATTACAAAAAACTGTGTATCTAGAAAAGTGGCTGCTAGCAACAATAATTACACTGATTATTTAATTCCACATGGAAACTGAGAATGTTTCTGTTATATCATGACATACTACTATGTAAATTTCTGTAACTATACTGAGCATTCTTCTGATAGAAGTGCCATTAAAATTATTTACAAATTTACAGAGTTTATATAGTTTTAGTAACAAAACTTATTAAAGTACAGTTATGTCATACCAAGATCTTCCAACTGACTGAAGGCATTTGATCCAAATGTTCTCCGAATGACATGTAGTCTACCTGTACTGCTCTGAAGAAGAAAAATGGAAAAAAAACATAATATTGTATTGGTGATATAAATTTAAGCATGATAAAATATTTTCATCTAGATGGATAGACAGACAGGCAGACAAACAGATGGATGATAGACAGACATAGAAGATAGACAGATAAGATATAATGGATAAGCCTATCCATGGATAAGCTCGGGATGTATTTTGGAACCTAAAATTCTTGGCTTATCCATGAGTGGGTGAGTGGTGTGTGTGTGTGTGTTCAGTTTAATATCTTTATGTATATACAGAATTTCTGTATATTACAGAATTTAGCATGTATAGAAACCTGAAATTGTATTTTTGAATGATACAAATTGAACTGTGGAATATTTCTCTTCGGATGTTCACTAGGAATGCAACTGGACTGAACTCCCTTTATTACCTTGCTGGTCCTCCTTCCCTTCTCCTACTGGTTAGATATTATTTCGGTGGACCCTGTTTTTTGTTGGCTGTTTTGGAAAGAGTCCTCAGCCTTCTAATATTTCTCCTGATCTATTTTACAATTATATACTGCTCAAAAAAATAAAGGGAATGCAAACTCCTTCAGTTCCATGTTAAAATGTTCCCTTTATTTTTTTGAGCAGTATATAAAGATAGAAAGCGGAATCTAAGTCAATCCCAATTGGAACTTAAAACTATAATTCCATGACTTAAACTTAGTTTTCCATATTTAATTCTCTAACATTGAGAATATTTGTAGCTGAGGGTTGAAATGAGGGGTCCTTGATGCTCTCTGAGCTTGGTTGTTTTCTTGAAGACGTTTCATTACCTGAACTAGGAAACATCAGTGCATTGATGATGTTACCTAGTTCAAGTAATGAAACATCCCTTATGTCTAATAATCTATTAACATTCAGTAAAAACAAATAGCTGTAATGAGGCTGTTGAAGGAAAACCTCTAAGAACCTTTGGAATTCTATAAAGCAGGCTTGTATATCTTTCCTACAGGTGTTCTGGCCATATATATACCAGCACTTGGAATACTGAAGTTGTTATTTAGATATACAACGATAACTCCCTAATTATCAATTTATGCGATCCTTTGCCATCAAATGTATTAAAACACTCTTTTAATAGAGGTTTTTGCTGCAGTCTTCTTTATGTCTTTATACTTCTATCTCCTAGAAAGATAAGCATAGCATCCTGTAATAATCCATAGGCTACCAACATGGCACAATATCTGATGAGAGGAAAAAAGCCTGCTTATGTCATGCATCTACCCCCATGGGAAAAACCTCCATTAGTGAAAAAGCTTCTATATTCTATATAACTAAGGAAAAACATAGCAAAAGCTTACCTTGATGCTCTTAAAAGCAGTGTTATTTTTAGCATCTGCTGCTATTTTTGGAACTAGAACACATCTCTAGAAAGATTGCAAGAGGTCTAGGAGGAGGAGGTCTGGCAGAAAAGCCTCACAGTTCTGCAATTCTCTAAATTATCTTAAGCAAAAATTAGGAAATTATTTTCCCAGGTGGAGAAAAAGAAAGAAACACCTGCTTCTCCAGAAAGAGTCCCATCAAAATTGCCAGTGAACAGTCTCTTTACTTTAGATGCACCTTACCAAACACTTCCTTCACAATAAACAAAGGATAGGTTCATAGCCAACCAAGATAGGGGCTGCCAATCCCACCAATGCTTTGGCATGTCACCTTCTTTTCTGACTATCCAACAGGATGTCAGAAGGAGCTGGTTCTTTTCAAAGAATACTGCACAGAGAGATATTATCTGAGATCTTAAAGGAAACATGTTCTTGTTGTACATGGTCCATCGTGCGTCTGGAAATGAAAATTAAAAGGAGATGATCTCCCTTTTTTTGCTCAAACTGTTCACTAAATATAACTTTAAATCCATTTCCTATTTTGGGCAATTATAGCTTCCTTCCAGCCTCTGTCTTTGCTCTCTTTCCCCCTTTCATATATGTATTCTTCAATTCTAAGTCTTGAATAGTTGGTGCTCACTAATTCATGGTCTTCATTTTCTAATAAGTTAAGAAGGGAAAGGTTGTGCTGCAGTTGCTATTTAAGTTCCTAAGTTGTCTTTTTGTTCCTTTTTTGAAAGTGATATATTTTATTACAAAGAATCTGTAAAATACATTGATAGTGTAATGCTATTCATGTCTTCTAACAGTTTTTTTCCTTTTACACAATAAATTGGAAGGAAGGAAGGAAGGAAGGAAGGAAGGAAGGAAGGAAGGAAGGAAGGAAGGAAGGAAGGAAGGAAGGAAGGAAGGAAGGAAAGGCTACATTAAATACATAAAGGGAAAAAATACTTCAATCAAATCTTTAAATACATCATGAAAATTTGACCACACAAAATAATATTAATCAAACTTCTATTATGACAACACATTGCTAGTTCTTAGTTAAAAGTGAGCACATATCTTTAATCCAGAATTATAAGTTTGGAATCACCCTACCTTTCCAACACTGATTTTTCCTGCTATTCCTCCTGTGTAAAGTATTCATATTTCATCTACCGACATATTCCAGATTTGTGGTACATCGCTATACAGCATAGTCACATATTTAATATCTTCATTACACTATATTAATTATCATCATCAAACCGAAATAGACATCAAACTAAAATAGAGGATTAAGTAACGTATTCAGCTACAGTTATGGTTATAAGAAATTACAAAATATATCAAATATAGGGTACAAAAAGCTAGTAAAAATATTCATTCAAATTCAATGTTATAGATGATATTTCAGATTGAATAATAATGCCATTTAATTTATATTGGTTAGGATTTGCATCTTTTACAACAAATCAAAGCGAGATCTAGGTGGGTAAATATTAACATACCATGCTGTGAGTTATCTCCAAAGGTTCTATCAGGTAGACGTAAGTATTGTCTTCAAACATGCCACTAGAATATGAGAAAACACATTTTAAATACTTTAATATTAAGCAAATGGGAGTATACTGTATATTGTAGGAACTCCCACACATTTCCAGACCATATATTCATGTATTCCACACAAAATACAAAACATTGTGACAAATGGTTTATGCTGTTATTAGGAATGATAAAGCATCTTTGAAGATGTGCATGAGAGACTGATGAATGCCAATATGGCTGTGCATTATTTCAAACAGTTCCAAAACAACATGTGGAACGATGGGGGAGGAGTGAATGCAGAGTCCAACCCTTGTATGCTCCAAAGCACCATTTTGAAATCAAATCCACACACGGTCCTAGATTTATAATGAGAGAGGAATTCAATATGACAAATATCCTATTTACAATTTTAGTTGTTTGTATGCTAACTTGAAATTAAGGCATATTCTATCTATAAATCTGCATTTGTAAGCAGAATCAACCAGCGCTGAATCAACCAGCGCTGAACACATCACGGAATCTTTTTGATCTATGAAATCCTTTATGTTCTACTTATTACACAGGCACCAACTGGTTGGTGATGAATGAATACTGCAGTTCTTGTCATCTCCTTCTGAAAAAGAGCAGCAGGATATGAAGGAAATTAATCTGACCAAAAAGGAAGGCCAAAGGGAACTTGTTTCCCCACTTCCTACACATTAGTTCCTCTTGACAGTTGCTCAGGAACTCAGAAACTAGGGGCAGGAGGACTGGGCCTTTGGTAGATAGATAGGGACTAATCACTCATCCATCAATGAAGAAAGAAGAGATATCAATTGCTGCTCAAATAAGAATAAATACTACCAAAGGAAGAGCAGCTTGGCTTGCACTGAAATTATACCTATTTCTCTCCATTCTGTTCTGATTCTCACTCTAACTTTTAGCTCTATTCATCTTCTCTATGTCTTGTCTTTTTTTTAAAAAAAAATATTGACAGCAGAAACTGCTTAGGGGTTTTTATTTACTATGAGTTGCCTTGGGAAAAAATATCTAAAATGTGCAATCAGAAAACATGAAATTATGGAAATAAGCAAATTGGTTAAAGCTTTATTATGGGTTTTCAAGAGAGATATTCATGTCCTGACAAGATCAAACAATGGGTGCTTAAACAAAAAAATCCTCAATATAGCATTAGAAACAGAATATAGGAAAATCTCACCTAAGGTACAATTGGGCCATAGCAATGCACACTTCAAAGCAGCATTGTAGTAAAGCAGTAAATTTTGGTGAGCATTTACATTATTATATTATACCATCAGCAGAGCCAGGGGGAAAATTTCATATGCAGAAGCTCTGTCCTTGAAAAAATGGTAACACTGAAACACAAACTAATATACCCTTATATTATAATTTTCTATTGAAATATATGTAAAGAGCTCCTAACAGTTCTTCATTTCCAGGATAGAGTGAAGAATTTTATTATGTAACATTTAGTAGCACATAAGGAGGCCAAGATAACTCTTGCCATTGCTAAGTTTCTTCTAACACTTGGTAGGAAGCGTTTCTACCAAGGCGTTTCTGGGTTGAAGGGATTTAGCCATGACATCAGCATTCCCAGGGGACACCTGAAGCGACTCCTTTCATGTCCCTTTTATTTTCCCACCAAAGTGGTACTTATTTATCTACTTGCATTTGCATGCTTTCAAACTGCTAGGTGGGCAGGAGCTGGGCATCCTAGCCCTGTGAGCCACCACAACCCTAATTTGTTAGACTTATGCCCACCTTTTCTGTGCATAGTACTCACTCGCTGAGCAACAACCCCGTGGGGCAAGTGGAGTTGAGAATATGAGTAAATGGGAAAATATAACACAGAATAACTGGAATATGATAGATAGATAGATAGATAGATAGATAGATAGATAGATAGATAGATAGATAGATAGACAGACAGACAGACAGACAGACAGACAGACAGACAGACAGACAGACAGACAGACAGACAGACAGACAGACAGACAGACAGACAGACAGATATAGATAAATGAGAGAGAGAGAGAGAGAGAGAGAGCACTGTATTCTAAACTGCCAATATCCTCTAAATATCTCCCAGATCTCATTGTTATGAGGAAACCACTAGACTGAACATTCTATATGTTTTAATTTCTGTCCAATTATCTGCATAGCTGAGAAAACTGATAGTAATAATTCACTATCACAGTTGCCTGATAGCCACCCAAAATCTAACTAAGCATATTTATTAGAGCTGGGTTGGTTTATACTTTCCTGTATAAAATTACAGTCTCATTCAACAATCTCTGTCTACAAGTCTTTCCAGAGGTCCCAAACATTTTCTCCATTTATCAGCATTTCTTTCACTCTAATATCTTTTTTTTTCTCTTAATGCTTTAATTATACCAACAATGGTTTTCCCCTCCCATAAATTCCCTAAAATTTGCATATTAGCAAATAGCTGTTCTCCAATTACACGGGTCACTGGTCATTAGAAAAAAATGACGATTAATGCGGAAAGAAGGCTTTCTGCCAAAGGGCAGGTGTCCATGATGGGGAGGAAGGGATGAAAAAAGTCATACTTTTAGTTACTGGGACACTGTACTCTAGTCCAAAACAGAGACTATGGAAAACTGCCTAATACGAAGGATACAGAGTATTAAAATAATGAGATATTTATTAGTAATTATACTTACTGAAGTCCATTACAGGTAGAAATAGCAGCTTTGGATTTTGGAATGCCTCTGATGCTTCCATGATAATAGCAGTGTTCCCCTCCCTGAAAATGAACAAAAATCTTCTGTTTTTATAATTACTTTTTAAATGGGCCGATGCATATCAGAATAATAGATTCATACTTTAAGCCTGTATATGACAATAAAACATAAATGAACAGTTTGCATGTTTTAGTACAGCTTTAGTATACACTACAAAAATAAAAAGTAGTTTACTAAATAAATTAAAAGTGTAATTTTCAAGAAAGAGCTAAGAAATAGCCTACCCAATCGGCAGACCTATTATCAACCAGACACAGAATTATAATGGCAAACTGTTAAGAATTCAGTTCTTAAAATGATTTTTAGTTGCTCATAAATAATTCCCCAGTTATCCACCATTATTTTAATGAACAATTATGACCCTATTACAATACTGTAATATTGTAATACTGTTGGCTACACAGTCAGCCAGATGTTTAGATTGGTTTCAGCATTTTTGTCCATCTATTGAGTACTTTCAAGAATCTGGTATCTTTGCAGGTTATCACGTGTTTCAAATGAAGCTACCTTTTGCAATTGATTGATGGTGATTTTGTCAATGCCAATGCTATTCAAGTGGTATTTCAGATGTTTTGGGATTGCACCCAAAGCATCTATTACTATTGGTGCTATATTTGCTTTCTTTTCCCATGACTGTTCTATTGCTACTTGTAGGACATCATATTTTGTGATTTTCTCAGTTTCTTTCTCTTTTATTCTACTCTCTCTAGCTACTGCAACATCCACTATCCAGACTTTTTTGTGTTTCTTATTCACAATTGTAAAGTCTGGGTGATGTGCAGTAGATGCTTCTCTGTTTGAATTCCAAAGTCCCAGAGAACTATAGCTTCGTTTTCTATTACTTTGTCTATTTTGTGATCCCACATGTTCTTGCTTGCAAAGCTATTCAAATGGTACTTTTTGCAGGTATTCCAATGCCTCATTGTTACTACTTTGTCATGCCATTGCTTATTGTCAGTCTGTACAATCTTCTTGCAGCAACTAACTAGGTAGTCCAGGGGTCTTCAAACTTGGCCCTTTTATGACTTGTGAACTTCAACTCCCAGAATTCCTCAGCCAGGCATACTGGCTGAGAATTCTGGGAGTTGAAGTCCACAAGTCATAAAAGGGCCAAGTTTGAAGACCCCTGAGGTAGTCCATGGCTTCTTCAGTGGATAGGTGGCACTCGTTGTCTGTTGCGTTTTTCTTAATCCTGGCTTTGCATGCATTTGTCCTTAAGGCTTGGTCTTAGGCACCCAGAATTAGCCCCTCTGTATGTTTCTTCAACTTTCCTGCTCTCAGCCATTGTCAGGTCTTATTATTTATTAAATGCATATGCCATCCAGCTTCAAGTAATTCTGGGCAGTTTACTATGGCTAGACACAAAAAGAACTACCTTGATAACCACCTGTTTCTGTGGTGCACCTTTTGCCAAATGCTCTCTATGCCTCCAGCTCTATCTTTTCTGAAAATAATGCATTGCAAACAATTGTTTTTATGGCCAATCTATGACCCAAAAGCATTCTTAAAATAAATATGAGGCTCAGTTACAAAGTGCTCAGTTACAAAACATGCTAACTTCCTTTCTGCAAGTATACCAGTGCCAATGGGCATCAAATAGGCTGTTTCCAATTTATAGTGGTTAGTGGAACATTTAATAGACTGAATTATCTAATTTCACCAACCAAATCTAAATCTGAATGCTTGAGTTGATTTTTTTTTTAAAGCAGGCACAAGTACAACGATCACTTTATGATTTTTTTAAAAAATAACGTTTTTGTGAAGTGAAAAACAAAATAAGAAAGAATTGACTGGATTTAAAGAGAATTGAGAAATAATCAATTAAATCACAAGTCTATCTCTATTGCTCTGCACTTTGGTTTGAGCATTTGATCAGAATTAAGCACAAAATATATAAATAAAAGACACCACATGATTCTGGGGTGTCAAACTGCCGGCCCGTGGGCCAGATGCGTCATCGGGAAACCACGCCCACCCCATTGCCGGCAATGGAGAAAAAGCTCTGATACGTTGTGCGATGTCTATGTGACGTTGCGAGTTTGTCTTAACTTGGACATTCCAAAATGGTCATTAAGGGGGACTATGAATGAGGGACTTCACTTATTCACTTTTATTTAAAAAAAAATCTAAGGCTTTTCACCTCAGTTTCAAGTCATTACATAGCATATTCATAAAAAGTACAAACAGCAGCTCTTTTTACTGCATAAAACAAAATTAAATTCCATTCTCTAAACATGGAAGAAGTGTCCTATATTTAATCTCCTGGATAATGAATTCAAGATTTCTCCTGAGAACATTAGTAATTATATCAGCAAAGTGGTATATAGTCTAAAGGCTTCCTTCACTATTTACAAATGACTAACTCTAAAAAATGTTTACAGAAATCAACATCGTTATTGCTATGTGTAAAAAAATGTCCCATTTATTATTTCTAGTGGATTTTTAGCCTCTAATTGGGTCTCAAATACTGTTGATAATACTTATTTGTAAATACTTACTTGTCAATAAAAATCTTTAACAGTATTTCTATTTTGGAAGTTTTTTTAAAGCCAATCCAGATATTACACTCCCAAATAAGCCACAATCCATATTTGAAACTGTACATCAATTAATGTGTACCACAACCAATGAACATTTTACATGAAGCAAAATTCAAAGCTATTTTCTCTACCCTCTCTTCCACCAGCACAGATAAAATCTAACATCCAGGTTTTTTCAATGTAGAATTTCTATGGTATCAGAAAACATGTCTTATGCAGACACAGTTTATTTATGGAGGCTGAAGCCAAAGACTAGACATTAAAAACCAAAATTGCCTCATTTTACCAAGCAGTCAAGGACTGTGAGTATATGTGTGTGTGTGGCTGTGTGTGCGCGCACACGTGTCTGTCTGTCTGTCTGTCTGTGTCAGAGATAACATCCAAGTAAGTCCACATTCATAATCCCATATTGTATATAAAAAAGCTAGGCTTATTTATTATCCATTATGGATGATTGAGGGAAAATGGCCCTTTTTCTTCAAGATGGCACAGTTCCAGTTCTACTCAAATGCAGACCAAAAAGGAAACTGGCAATAATGCAGTAAGATAGACAAGGAACTTTACATCAAGTGAATATAATATAGGTACTCTTTTACTACAACACAGTAAAATTTAATTTTAAGTATCCCAGTTTAATATCTGATAAGGTAGCTATAATAATATAGCTTTTAGAAATCCTCCAAAACTTACTTTCATTTAACAATTTGCACTTGCCCAGCACATTATTTATAACTGAAAATATTTATCTTACTTGTCAGAAGAATAAACTATTTGGCAATGATGAAACAAACTGAATTTAAAGCAACAGAATGGGACTAATAATATTTAGCATTTTGCCTGTTTTCCACATGAAATCCTTTGGATAGTTTCTGTTTTTCTGTTTTTTAAAACATTAAACAATAGTTAAGCAATATAGTTCATGAGAAATGCCAGGGTGGATGAAGAGTCTGTTGGTCTGGAAGGAGATCAAATCAGTCAATCCCAAAGGGAATCAACTCTGACTGTTCTTTGGAAGGACAGATACTGAAGCTCAAATATATAACATACATAGACAATCCATGTAGTTATAAGTAAAACTTCTTTGGGGGTAAGGCAGTGGCCTTATAACTGGATGTCCAATTCAGCTATCCAGACGATTACCTCTGGCATTGCTTCATGCAGATCTCTAGGGAACCAGAGAACACACGTCATGGGCAATCTTGAGCAATATGTTTAATAGTTTACAGTTCAGCACCACAATTACAACATGGTGGATCTTTCCATCCCCACTGATACAGGGCAGAAGCATTTCTTCCAGTATCACACCTAATTCTGTTCAATTTTGACCATACAAACAAGGTCAGGTCAAAATGAGAAGAGAGGACCAATTGGAAAAGATCCTGAGGTTGGGAAAGATTAAAGGCTAAAGGACTTGAAGGGGACAGCAGAGGATGAAAGGATTAGCTAGTGTCATTGTCACAGTGGGCATATATTTGGCAGATTCCAGGAGACAGTGGAGGAGGGGGGGGCTGACATGCTATGGTCCATGGGGTCATGAAGAATCGGACATAACTTAGTGACTGAACAATCACAAGCAATACAATATTTTAAACTAGGCAGGCTTTGATTTCAAAGCCTAATCTTATTAAAACTGAATAAACTTGCCACAGACATTAGCAGACAAAATGCACATTGTACACTTTGAAAAATTTAACAAAAAATAAATATATGAGATATGCTAATATTATCAAACACAAGAAAAATGACTACAGTACCTTTGAATATTGTGGTTTGTCATCTTCATAATGAATTTCCACATAATCAGCAGATAATAAGTCACTACAAAGAAGCAAAGGAAAAAATGTCCATATAATCTACTATATAAAGCTGATCAAGTGTGACTTTATTCATTGTGAATAAAGGATAACAAAGAGTAATTGCCCTGATGAGGTATTATTACTGCAAATCTGAATTTAAATATTGCATATTATGTTTAAGTGGTTAGATACATGGAGACTGTGAATTCTAGTCCTGCTTTAGGCACAAAGCCAGCTGGATGATTTGGGACCAGTCCCTCTTTTTCAGTCTTAGAAAGAAGACAAAAGCAAAACACTCCCCAAAACATTGCCTAGAAAAGTTGTTTTTAAGACTGCCTCAAAGGCATGCCTCCACCACCAAAAAAATGGACCTAAAACCATAAATAGCATTTATATCATACATTTCTTTTTTGCACTGCTCAAGAAAATTCACAAAACATTAAACCCATAATTCAATACGTAGGCTGGCAACCAGTGGCTTCTTTAATGGCAGTTTTGTATAACAAAACAATAATTTTAGAAATGATAAATAGCTTAAAATAGTGTAGTTTTAAACATTTAAATAATTGTGCCAATTCAACCTGAACTCAAATTTTATTACTGTCAAAGACCAAAAGAACAATAAAAGGAAATAATATAATGAGAAATATAATACAAAATCAATCATAGTGTATTCAGGACCATGCCATTAAATACCTCTACCTTCATCACTCCTGATTCAAGGCATAGAGATTCATTAGAAACAAAAGAAGGCACCTGAAATGACACCTTGGAGAATTTGGACTGGACTCATTCAATGGAGGCAAAGCTAGAAAATTATCCAAGACAATTGTCCATAAGTGAGCTGGGACAAAAATTCAGCCTGAAATTACCTAAGGGTTGCTAGAATGCAACTCCCTTTCATCTCTGAGCCGAGCTTTTTTGAGCTGCCCTTCATCTGCTTGAGACATGAAATCTCACGCCTATTACAATGAACCTTAATACCGTAAAGGAATAGTCCTTTGGTTGGCAAACACCTTAATTTTGGTTTTAGAATAATTTAGTGTAGTGCTCTTTGCATTACTGAGCAAGTGCCAAGAATGCTGTCCTAAGACCAATGGGGATGTTCCAGATGATCATAGCATCATCAGCATTAAGAAAGGTAGAGAAGCACCTTCCTGCCAACTTGGAGGGTTAGCAATATAAAAGCCTCCTATCCATAAAGGAAATTTTCAATTTCTTCCAAAGAACATCACACAAGTTGGAGTCAAAGCATACAGTAAATCAACAAATGCTACATAAAGAGAGGCTACAGACTGAATATTTCTCTGTCAGATTTTGCAAGAGTATATGCGATAGCTGATCAACCTTTTCTGAAATCAGTTTGCTCTTCCATCCAGAACATTTCCTGCTCCAGCTGGTCACAAAGCTTCTATTGCAAGCTCCTGGCATAAACCTTGTAATGGTGCTAAGCAAGCTTATCGATCTATAATTTTAAGGATACTCTTCAGTGCAATTCTTATGCAGAGACACTGTGATTGCAACAATCCAGTCTTTAAGATTTGTCCAAACTGGTCAACAGTCATGAACACAGCTGTTAATACAGAGCCCACTTCCCTCTTCATCAAGTTTAGCTGGTAAATGGCTGGTAGCATCAGCCTTGCTGTATAACTCCTTAAAATGTATTCCCCATGTTTTTGAAAGTTAAACTGCCTAATGAAGATAAGCCTGTACTCAGATAATCAGATACTAAGCGACTAAATGGATAGCATCAAGTTCCACTCAGTGATCCACTGGGTTTCTCCCTCACCCTATGAGGGCCACAGTTCCGGTGCAAGGTGTGGGTGAGCTGTATTGGGTATTAGGAGGTCCCTGTGGAGTTTTCAAAGGTATTAATCTGGTGTTCATCCTGGCTTGGAGGCAATATTTCAATCTCAAGGCAGGGATTGGAAATGAGAGTAGATAAACAGAAGCAAATCAATTTTAGCCTAAGCTGCATTTAGCATATCAATTTATGTAGGAGACACATCCTCAGCAGCAAAATCCTTTCCCAATGAATCCTATGAGTTCCTATTGGAGGAACATGCAGAGTGGTTGACTTTGCTATCCACGAATTACAGCACTGCAGCAGTAATGGAGTATGGCTACAGTAGTAGTTTATTGATTACTCTTATGACCATATCAAAGAAGATAAAATAAAAATAAAATATTGCATCTAATACTATAGTTAATAGATAAAAGAAAACACAGTAATAAAATACATATGTGGTAAATGCAAAGATTCAACTGCCAGATAAATACATCACTTTTACAGGATACCCCAATCTGTTGGGGCATCCTGTAAAAGTGATGTATTTATCTGGCAGTTGAATGTAACAGGTTCTTATCTCAATTGCCTTAACTATAAATTTAGCAGTTCTGCTCACAATATATACATTAGAGC